TAGGTGAGTACCGGTCGGTAGTCGCGCCTAGCACGTAACTCGGGAGTTTGTGGTCGGCGAAGTCGGTGCAAATGCGGTCTTCTAGCACATGTCGGGAATAACCTGCTAATTCTCTACCGAACATAGTGTAATGAGATTCGACAGGTTGCAGCCGTTTAGAGAAGAACGCCAGTTGTTGACAAGCGTCACTTATTTGTTGCTCTAAAACAGCACCAACTGCCACGTCAGAAGCGTCCGTACTGAGTAACAGTGGAGCCGTCGGGTCGTGATGCGCTATAGGAGCTATGTTGGCGATAGCCTGTTTTAGAACCTGGAATGCGGTGCGTGCTGCAGCAGGAAAGTTTAATTCCTTGAGTTTCCCTCGGAGATCCGAGGTGGACTGCGTAACTGAAGCATAACTAGGTATGAAACGGGGATAAAAGTTGTTGAGGCTGTCAAGGCGTCTTAGCTGTTTGAAAGAATGAGTCTCAGGCTAGTCGATGATGACCTTACTTTTATCCTGTAGTGGCACGACGCCTGCAACATCGATATAATGGCCGAGAAAACTGATCGAAACGACATCCCGTGTTTGAATAAACACAGAAAGTGTTCGTACGTAGCGCAACTGCTTCTCGCTTGAGGAGCTCGCGATTAGTAGGTCGCTAAGCGCAGTCTAAATCACGACAATCCTGATCGATAAAACACCGAAAAGTTTGTGCGACATTCTTTAGACCAAACGGCATGCGCAGAAACTCGAGCAAACCGAATGGATTCATGACAGTAGTTCTAGCGATGTCCGCTTCTGCTACCTGAATTTGGTTGCATGCGCGTACCAAGTTGCTTTTGCTAAACACGTTTTTATCTGCAAGCCTGTCGGTGAACCCCAAGATGTGTGAAATCGGATAGCGATCGAGCATGGTAACACTGTTCAAGCTTCATTAGTCGCCACAAGGACGCCAGTCCCTTATGACCTCTTTGGAACCATTTGGAGAGGTGACGCCCATTGCCTGATGTTTCAGAGCCGAAGCATGTGGTCGAATTCAGCTCGTGCGGCACATAGTTTGTCTGAAGCGTGTCGTCTCGGTCGGGCGCTCGTTGGTGGGCCGCGCGTGACTATGTGATGAGCGACCTCTGTCATGATCGGCGGAAGCTCTGCAACTGGTCGTACAAGTCGCGGGTATTCAGAGAGTAGGCTCGCATAATCTGAAGATACGTCGGTTATCCGAAAAATGGGGTTGATTATCGTGGCGTTTGCGATAACGCCTCCAACCCCTAGTTTAGTACGGTCGTCTAAGATCCTGTGTCGATCCGCATCAACGCAGTCCAAAATGGCGCAGGAAATCGCTACCGTTGATTTCGAAGGGTACAGGCGCGGCCGTGAAAAGGCCGGCGGAGATTTAAATCAAGTGACGCAATTTCCTCGTCTCGAGGGTCAGTTCGGCTTGGCGACTCAGAACAACTGCGACACTCGTTTTTCATCGCTGAGAATACCTCACAGAAGCTACTGCTCTTCTGCTGCAGAAGAGATTTGAACGTGGCATCCGCTCTGGTGGATAGTTCTTTCAGGGGCTTGTCCAGAAACATGGACAGCAGTACCGGAAATAGCTCTGGGAGACGTGCAAGCCACAGCTCCTTTATCCCCTCTACACTCAAGAACCTCGCCTGCAAGATTCGAGCTTCGTGCTTACCCTGCGATCCCCTACATGCGACGTTAGCGTCTCACTCTCATTGCGCCTGTCTGGAGATGAGGCAGCTTCAAATGCTGGTCAAGCTGGCGTAGGCATTATTTTGAGTTGCCGGGCTGAAGCTGCCCTGATCGATTGGATCCCAGTCAACAGCCGGATTTGCGCCGTTAGATTGGTTGGCTCATTCAGAGCTTCGAAGTCTCATGCGGACAAATGGTGCCTGTTTGTTCTTGCGGCCTACGTCCCCTTAACCTGTAGTACGGATTCGGTGAAAAATGATTTCGATCACCAAGTTAACGATCTGCTTCGTCTCAGAAAGAATACGGATACTGGGGTGCTTGCTGATGACCTGCAACTTCAAGTCGGAAATTTGTCCTCTGATGAGCTTCATCTGGGCGAGCAACATAGTGTAGACTCCCGTAATGATAACCGTGAGCGGTTGCCACACCTGTCTGAAGATGCTTTTATCTTTCTCGCTAGCATTAATTTTCGACACAGCACCCGCAGAAGAGTGACTTGGTGCCCACCAGCCATTGACACAAATAGATCACATTGCGATTAGTTACCTCTGGAGATGCTGCGTACAAAACTATCGCTCGATTTGGAGCACGAGCGTTTACTTCGATCACGCTCTTGTGTGTGCCGACCTTCGGGTGCGTTTCAGTGGACGTTCGCAACGTCGCTGTGTGCGCATAGACACCAGCCAACTGGCGATGCCAGGTGTTCTGAATGCGTATCAAACTACGCTGGTATCCGGGCTGAGTAAACGCCAACTGAACGCCGTTGAAGATCATTGGTTACACGTTACAATCAGTGGGCATGTTTTCATGTGGCAAATCAAATTTCCAACCTAGACAATGGGTCTTCTCACAGTCTCTGGTACTTTTGGGTGCTAGCCAACGTATTCCGGCGGAAAGCAAACATAATGAGAATCGTAAAAATTTCAGAGAAAAGCTACGTGCTAGCCTGAAGACCGCGAAACGGCCGCTGCCGTTAGTAACCATGGTAAGTCACTCCGTTTGATACAGGAAACGGGCAGCAGCAGACCTGATATTAGTGAGACCATACGCAGCGAGAGTGGACAGCCGATCTACAGCTTGTCAAAAAGCTTGGAGCGTTGGGCCGAATACTTTGCGAAGTAGTTTAATCAATCTGTGCTATCACTTTCTTTTTCGAGCATTGTTTGTGCTTCTCCCTGGGCCGTCTCTTTGGACCCGCACTCACGCGCAGAAGTCGAAGGTGAGATCAGACTGTTGAAATTGAATAAGGTCGCAGGAGCAGATAGAATCCCCCAGCCCTCTTTAACTTCGGAGGACCTGCTCTTGCAAGGGATTTACACGAGGTACTAGTGAAATTTTGGGAGCAGGTGTTTGTCTCAACAGACTGGAGTCGCTCCGTCATTGTCCCAATTTCCAAGGGAGGCTTCCGTCCGGAATGTGGCAACCATAGAGAGATCAGTCTGATCACATTCGCCTCTAAATTGCTTGCGTCTGCCGTTATCCACGGACTGACTGGCACTCGTGAAAGTCATATTCGTGAGGAGCAAGCCGGGTTTCGTCGAAATCGAGGCTGCATCGACTACATCTTTACTTTACGTCAGTAATTGGAGCACCGCCATGTTTATTGGCGACCCACCGTTGTCGTGTTTCTTGACATAAACGGTGCCTTCGATTCAGTGAAACCATATGCCGTTTGTGACTGTTTGTTGAGAAAAGATGTGCCCGATAGATACGTTGACATTACCAGATCGCTGTACGCGCACATTTCGGACAGAGTGAGGGCTTATGGCAAACTGTCGCCGCGCTTTACTATCTCCGGCGGTGTAGGACAAAGTTGCACGCTGTCACCTTTCCTTTTTAACTTCGCTATCGATGAAGTCATGGAAAGAGCGTTCTCTGAACACGACTTACAAGGTGTCGAGCTGCTTCTTGGTGAACGACTTCTTGACTTGGAGTCTGTGGACGACATTGCCTTCATCTGCGACAGGTCCCAAAGGTGCTAAGCAGTACTGGATAGATTAACACTGGCTGTCTATTTTTTGGGCCATGCTCTGCACCCTCGAAATCCAAAGTCCTCCAAGATTGGCGGGGATCCACCTTTGTGCTGATCCTTCATGGTGATCAGCTAGAAGTTGTTCAGAATGTCAAGTACCTGTGCAGCTATATTAACGCCCGTGGGATTGAAGCTGAGATTCCGAACCGTATAGCAACAACTCGAAATGTTTTGCTAATCTCCGCCACCTGTGGCGCAGACGCGACCTCACTCACCCTGCAGGGCAGGTTTTATGATGCATCCCTCCGTTCAACTCTCTTATACGGTTGTGAAATCTGGTACTTCAGGTCGACAGACATAATGAGGCTAACAACCTTCGACCCTCGTTGCCTTCGCAACTTACCTTATGTCTGGTGGGAGCATCGCATGAGCAATGAATGTGTTCGACGTTGCGTATTTTGTGCAGGAAGCGCAAGTGAACCGCTCAGCACTGTTATATCACGCACCAGGCTCCGATAGCTGGGCCAAGTATTGCGCATATATATTTGCATCAGTCTACGAATAGACAAAGCCATCAAAACGAATAGCACTTCTATAACGTGGCTACTCTCTACCACTTCGGCTCAGCTTTCTTGAGCTGCAAGTAGTTTAGTCTCACTTGAAAATCCCTTGTGGAATTCTAAGTTTACATTTATTCAGGTGGTTTTTCAAGGAATCCCTCACCCATTTTTCAGACAACTTGATTAACACGTTTGTCAAATTGACAGGCAATTAGTTCATGGGCAGATTACTCTTACCACTTAAAAGTCGGATAGGTTATGGCCTCGCTCCATTCCGTAGCTAAGACGCAGCTGTCGAGCGATTTTCAAAACTCGCATGGGAGTGGACCACTCAGTTCAGCGGGCAATTCATGCAACAGCTTCGGATGAATCGAATCAGGGCCGGAAACTTTAAAGGGGTTTATACCTTGTGTCACAATACCTGAGGTGTTTACACCTGTAGCCAATGTGTGTGATGATGCTGATGATGATTGATGGTGACTGATGATGACGATGATGATGATGTAGTAGCCGTTGTTCAACTGGTGGTCAGAGTGTCACCTCGGTTGGTTACAGGAACGTTACAGCAAAACTACCGAGCTCAGCGAACACTCCGACCACCAGCTATTCACTATCATTCAGCACGTCTTCGAATTATCGCGCATTTGTCTCTACATTGTACATCCACTTAAGATCTTGCTGTGCCTCTCTGTTGAACACCCATGTTGACCATTAACTCATCTTTATAACGTGACCCACTTTCCGATTTCGCCGATTACCTATTATTGGTCTTTTCTAAAATTCAGCTTTTGGGAGACATGACCCGTGTCCAACAAATACTAAAGACGGACCCATGTTCTCCACGGCCTCAGGGACTGACACCAGCTAGCGGTTGTAATGGCGCATCCGCACCCAGAATAATCAGTTTCAAGGACTTTGTGAAAAACTTTAGCAGTGGTAAACCGCTTGATACAATTCCATTCGTTTCCCCGACCGCTGTTTCTGAACGAGCCTCCCCAACGTGTTCGGAGCAGCTGAAGAGGCCGGAGGATAAAAATAAAATCTCAAGGCGATCTACACTAGCGAAAACCGTGAGTCGAACCGATGGATTGCAGCAAAAACTACTCACCTTCATATCTGCCCCTCCTGATACCTCGGATCCCTTAGAAGTCACAGAGACCCGGCGCGAATTTCAGCGGCCTACTGTAAATGAAGAATCTATGGGACTCTCTGAAGTTCGTCGTCATCCGTTTTTGGGCTTAAAGCGTTTTCTCTCCGTGACTCCCGTTCAAGTAAATCGCCACTGGGTCAGCCAACAAACGCGTATTTTTGGTTTGTATACGATGTTCGGATTATCTTCGTTTTCTTTTTCAGCGGTGACTTCTTTATAGACGACTACCTTTATCCAACTGCTGCTTTTCACCTAGCTTATGCACATCTTTCCGTCTACTGTCTCAGCTTGGACCATGGGTGTGTTGCAGCGGATGCTACCATCGTGTCACCTTTCAACGTTCATATTAGGACTTTGGCATCGTTTCACGTGGGTGTTTGCCACCCGCCTGCAGTTTCTCCTTGTGTGTCTTAGCGAATTCATCTAATCAGTCACCCTATCTTCATTTTCGGCTGTCACCTGACCGCTAGTCCACTGCCTGTCTGGGCCAAAAGGCGATCTCCACTCATTCCTCCTCCCTAGCTCTAGATATGCGAAGGAATTTGTCACTCGAAAATTTTTCAAAAGTAGTGTAGAAGAGTCTGGATCTATTTGAAATGCGCTTCGCTACGGCCGTGCTCCACTAAATGGCTACCACACCTTTGCTACATCGCAGATACTTGTCTATGACAGTTACCGCCATCTCCGTGGTCTAATGTACCATATTACTGTCTCGGAAGAGGCTGGTGACAATTCTGGCTCTTCACCAAACAGACAATGTTGACGGATCCTGTAAAGAACGAAACTGCCGACCATTGCTTTTGTGGATGCGCGGTGATAGGTATAGCTGTGCGGAACCTCTTCGAGAATGTCTTCTACCACAAGGTAGCACGTTTAAATTATTATTTGGACTTGCAACTGGGCTAGGTAACTGCAATTTTGTTTTCTCTTTTGTATAGCTGGTCCACATGTAAAGTACCTGACGTGACTTACGACCTAGATACTTTTTTGTCTTAGTCCATCACGTCCAATGACCGAGAGCGAGTGGCAGTGTTCTTTCCCAAATCCTTATCCCTCACTTGTACCTCTCTTAGCACTCTGCTCACTCACCCCACTCCATCGACCTGGCACACGTTTTCTGTTAGTTCAGCAGGACACTGGCATATTGCGTGACTAAACTTGCACAATCATCCATTGTTACAATCCAATGACCACTGCTGTGAGTTTGTACAAACACACGCAGGAACGGAACTCTCACAAAGAAACAACACAGATCTCAGACGAAACACAAGTTCAGCTTCTAATGGATGGCCACAATCTCAACAAGGCAGAAGACAAGCCTTCTGAACGAGGTCTTTTGGGATGCCAACCCAGCCGACAACCAAAAAAGCACTCGTGCGTATTTATAGTTCTCTTAGCGGCCTTGCGAAATTGGTCAATCACAATCCTGTTGTGCTGCAGGAATGAGATTTTCGCGTACCTTTTACAACCAAAATGACGGTTAAATCTATATTTTAGTCGATTCCAGTATATTTTTCAGATATCTAGCATTTTCTTAGCATCCATCTTGATCGGGTCCTTTCTAGTGGCTATTTCACCCACCCCCAATCGTCCTTACACATTGAGGCATTTGATGGTGGGCCGAGAACTTCTGCCCATCCAAGTCACGACATCTACTTGCATCGAGTGAAATACCAGGAAATATCACATCTTTAGTTATTGTGGCAGCGTTCCGCAACCATACTCACCGTCACACCGCCTTCACTTTGTAACCACATTTTGTCCGTTTTACTTTGCAATTACGTAACTTGACTTATCACTTTTCATATTAATTTCCTCTGTCGTGGCTCCATATTTGCACGAATGATCAGGATTCGCAACTCGGGTTTAGATCTCTATTGCCCAACTTTATCGCTAGCCACACCACTGTCTATTATTCACATCTACAACTATAAAATTTGTGTTCGTGTTGCGTCACTAGCTTTGCCATTCGCTCCGATTCACTTCCACATTGCTACAACTCTTCTTTGTCCAGAATCACCATCGCATCTCTGCCTCTAGAATCGAATGTCGGGAAAACGTGATCACTCGCCTCATTCAAGAGCACCCTACCTTCCCGGTCGCATCATCTGGTGCTTCTTTCATAAGTTACGCGCAGTCCCAGCACTCAAAAGAAGGTAGTATTGCCGTTACAGTCTTGTCACTCGCTTGTCTCTTTGTTGTAGCCACATGCCACTTCTCTCATTGACCGGTCTTTATTATTGTTCCACGTGGCAAGTGTCTAATGTTCCTTGTTCCCGGCTTATCTCCATATTCCACTGTTGCGCATGATGTGACGGACAGATAAGTAAGGCTGCCAATTATTTCCTTGTCTTTCGTTAACCATCGGTTTCACTGAATTTGAAGAACCTTTCCCCTTTCTCTAGAGGCCATTTTTGGAGTACTTTTTGCGTACGATAATGAGATTCGTCCATTAATCTATTGAATCTAGTGCTCATGTTCTTTTTTTCCGTACACACGACACACATCTACGACGAATTTTAACTCTCTTGATTGAATGTCTTGAGCGAGAGACGGTCATCGACCTCGCAACTGATGCTATCGATAATTGCAACTTACTTTTCAAACTCATGGTATCATTTCACATTAGTTCGTCCAGTGTTAGCAATCTGGGTCCGATCGGCCAACAGGCAGCTTTACCTTGCAGGACACCTTTTTATATTTTGCTACATAAACACTAGTAGGCTAACATCTCTAATCAGCTGACCTTTTCACCAGCTGCAACGACCATGTTTCAAAAGTCCAGACAATACACAATCGATACCAACTTTGAATAACTGACAACTAAGGTGCACCAACATCAGCAGCGAACCTTCCCAGACTTCCCTCTGTTCTTCCGGGCATACTATGTGGGAGCATTGAAATACAACAATGGGAATACATGCTTTCACTTCCTTTTGACATCCGAGAATGACGGGGCATTAATTCTGAAATCCGCACCTAAGAAGCGCTCCTATAACCTTTCACTAATCACTTCCTTGAAACTGTTGTGTCTCCAAAACACGCATACATGCTAATGGCGTCATGACGAATTTTCGACTCCATGTTTCCAAATCTGCCGATAATGACTACACTGTTCGCGTCTCTGGCCATACTGAATTAACGGCCTAAGATAATTATGGTGTCGGTATAGCACTCAGTAAATATGCTGAAGTCAGTCTACTCGACTGGATGCGAGTGAACGGCTGCGTGTTTGCGGTTCGAATTCGAACCTCTATTGTGATGGTAGGCATCGTGTGATGACAAGGTTTATGACTCCACCGACTGCAGTTCGGAGTGTCAAAGATAATTTAACTCATCAGTTCTGATCTTTTCTACGTATGGCTAATACTGATATAGGGAATATTTCTAGAGACACGAATACCCAAGTGGGTCGCATTTCGAACTCTGAACAACACCTGAGAGACCGTTTCGGAATCAGTGCACGTGGAACACAAAATGGCTATTGATTACTGCAAATAGGTGTTGATCACAACCTTTATAGTAACAGCACTGCTTTCCACCAGCATCAGCCAGTGGCCGAAAGTATTATGCGCTTGCCTTGCAATCCGGATGTCATAGGTTCGATGCCGCATAGGTACGAGCGGCCACACGTTATTACCAGCCCACGCATGACCATTGGTGATTGCGTGCCACCGAAGCATCGATGCGGCGTGCCGTCGTATTGCTAAAGCTTGCCACTTTCCGGTACAAACCTTCACATCGTGTCACCTGGCGCACAACCAAAGTCCTCGCTGATTTACATTCGAATTGATCATATTGCCAGCAGCTGCAGGTGGCGCACATCGGTTCGACTGTCGGTCAATTTTGAATACGAGACAAAGCTCCTACACACGACGACCTTTTCCCATCTTTGCTGGAAGGTGGAGACCCCTTGGACGCGCTTTCATTTCTTCATTCGATCTCTACTATTCAGTTCACCGCTCCTACAATTAAATTGGCAACTCTATATCCCAATTTAATGATCACTTCTCGCATACTATCACTCATTCTCTCTGCCTTCACACTTCTCACTGAATTTCCATCTGCGTTATGTTGTGACACCTATCAACCGTCTAATAAACCATTCTTGTTCATTGTGGCTTGTTGCCTGCACTCAGAAGCTTCTTTCACTTTTTCCATTCAAATAATGGTGCGATTACGTGGTTATATTAATGAACCTGGACCCGATCTATGAATTTCATAGTTCACACGCTTTCCTCCATCCACTATCTCTCGTACCTATTACATACTTCCATCATCAACTTTAAATTACAACAGGCGAATGTTATTTATGGATTGATTAGTTTCTATGTGCATTTGCCATTCTCACATCCCTCCCTATTTTGTGGTTGTCGTACCCTACAGTCCACTTAAGTTAAAACGGCTTTTTTGGTATTGGTTTTTTTGTACGCTGATTCATTCTCGCTTTTGCTACCAATCCGGTCTACTTCTATTGCCGCCCTGTTTGCGTAACTTTCCCTTTCCATCAACACCACCATTTGTTCACACTGTTATCACTAGTTCCTTGGCCCTACACTTTGTTTCACGTGATGAAACCTTGAATGGGATTTTTCGTACTAGGGAAACTTAAGCTTCATTTTCCCTCCTCACATCCGATAGACACCAAGCACTGGCTTTGGACAGACAAATATGCGCCGAATTCATGTTCCCATTTTCTTTACAACGGGCACGGTGTGAAGACATTTCAACGGTGGCTTCAGCGTTGGAAGCGACACGCCTCGAGGAGCACTGGGAAATGGGATCCGGAGGAAGACGTTTCGAAATGGACCAGTATGTGACTTCTCTTATCCACTGTTATTCCACGTTACTGTCTGTATGGGCTATAATCAGCTAATGGTGGTTACCACTGATTCAATTGGTGTCCCAGTATTGTCAGCCGACTCCTAGCCTAAAAGATCACAAGCCTGCCTTTTAATCCGAGGGCGCGGGTTCGAGCCTGTGTACGGGCCGGGCGATTCTCGCAGTATCCGTAGCCAACACACGACTGTTTGTAGTTGCGCGGTAGCGAAGCGTCCATATTGCGTACCCGCGTACTGCTGGTACCTTCTTCTTCTTCTTCTTTTTCTTCGTCCAGTATTGTCTCAACTGCAGCAAGTTGGACGTTGTCCGTTTACAAATACGTGAGTATAGGCCACTTAAAACCTCTTTGTACCGAGCCTCTATTTACAAATGGTCTGACTGCCGCTTCACCCCCAGCGGATCACATACGTCTGTTTATTACAGCTGTTTCTCTGCTCCTTCTCACCGACCGGCCGGCAATCGGGGCTTTGGTGTATAGGCCTGCAACTCCATCTCACCCACTTCTCACCTAACTTGGTCTCTATATCTCACTTTGGTTACTCGTTTCTGATACTAAGCGCAGCTTGTATGTTGCTTTTGACGCGTAAACCACCACACTATTATCCTCCCTCCGCTTTTCGTAATTACAAACAGGGATATCTGTAGGCATATGTTGTGAGATGACACCATCATTTCGTGCATTCTGTTCAATAACCCACATGCAAACAATAAGCGCTTCAAAGTCAATGTCACTGTGAGATCGATGGGTGGTGAAGCAGTGGCCGAACGGTACACTCCATCTACCAAGGTCGACTCATTTCCACTGTCAGCTGTCCTTGAGCGCAGAGAGACGGCCGCTCTCGTTCGATACCAATGGACTCCAAGAACATAGCATCATCAAATCGGCAACTTTGTACAAACGCTTCTTTGGTGATGTACTATTAGTAATTAATCCGGATGAGGATATTGCACGCGTAACCAAGGCGCTCAATAGTGCACACCCGAGTATTACAGTGACATGCGAACTTGTCTCCAATGCCCACACAAACCGCTCACACGACTAGATGGTTTGTTCAAAATATCAGTCTACTGGAAGACAACTTGGACTGGTCAATACTTACATGTCAAGGGGTTCTCGCGGATACAATACAGACATTCTTTATGCCTGACATTGTTCTATCGAGCCTATACGATTTGTACTCCAGAGAAGGAACTGCTGTTTGTGCACCTCGATTGCAGTTCACTATGCGCTTTAGAGACACGATAGCGCAAAATCGAACTACAACAACGCGAAATGAAAAGCGTTTCCATGAAAAATCCGCCAGGTCTACAGACTTCTGCCTAATCGTATCAGCATGATCACTGCTTATGTGTCCAGTGAAACGCCGATGTCGAAACAGTCTATGATCCATTGTTTATGCACATTCACCTGTACCTGTGGAAAGCTGGCTTGCCGAACTACATCATCGTGGTGCCAGCTGTGTGGTTGTGGATTACCACATTCCAACGAATTGTTCGGCGTCAGTGTTCCAACGCTTGGTTAGTTTTCGTTTACAAGCGTTCTCTCTATAAAAGCCACGCATGTCTGTTTAGCAACATTGCGACATGACGTATGTGACTCATCGCTACATGAAGTTCCTGCTCCTTGCTTCGTCTCGGTGGAGCGGTACTCCAGCAGATGTGTGCTGACATCATGTGTAGGATTAGGCTGGTTTTCGGTAACGGCCCAAACGAAAGATGTATGTGCTCAGCAATCAGTCACCGGCTTTCAATGACCGCGATTCTCTGGATTCGCCTCGGCTCCTTGCAGGCAGTCTGTTCAGCTAATGGTTCAAAATGGTTTCACCTAAAACGATTCCCTACCTCGGTTTGGGCAACCGGGTAGTATTACATCCTTTAACAAAACCATGAATCGTTCGTCGGCTATGCCACACTCCACCACTCTTCCGCTACTCATACAGTTTCATCACACGCCACTTGTTCACCTGTTAATAACCACTGTCCCCCGTTACCTGTCAATTTCTGTTTCCACCATTCTGCTGACGACCGTTTCGCCGACGCTCACAGATCTCGCCAAATGGCCCTCCTTCGGCCTCGATCCTCGTTTCCTCTACCATGCTTCACTGTTCGTACGCATGCAGATCGGGCAGCAGGCTACTTGCGCGCACTTGGTATCCCTCTTCATCGATGTTTTCTGTCTTTCCGAGACCCGATTGCAATATCTTAGTACTGTGCTTGTGCTGACATCCCCCACCAATCATGGAGCCATATTTCACCTATCTCTGATGGCTCAGAAGCAGCTTCAGCGGGTTCGTACTAAGTGGCAAGACCGAGGCCACATTGCTAGCCTGCTTCCTGTTTAACAACCGACTGAGTGCAGTTCGGCTTCAGAGTTCATGTAGAATCAACATGTATCGTGAGGGGAAACCTAACTTGTTTGTAATCATTGCATACGTTCCAACTGACTGCAGTTGTTACTCGGTCAGCGACAATTTTCAACCTGAACTTATCCAGCTCTTAAACAGAGTTGGCAAGTTCAATGTTGCCGGAGTTATAATTGTCTGGCTCGATGAGGTAGGTTGGAGACGCGGGATGATCACGCTATTTTATTGGGTTGACTAGTCTGAATACGTCACGAGGATAACCACTGCACTACTTCCTGTAACCGTCGAGGAGAGAGCAGTTAGCATAGCACACAGCTCCCATCAAACTTCTCCTCTAACCTGTGCAAGCGCAGTGCATGGACTCAATTCGAGTATCAATGTGGACTTTTTACAGGTAAGGCATCTGCTGTTTTCTGTGTTATCTAATCAACTGACCCCTAAGGATTGGTGGATGTATTCTTTGTTGTTGGACCAATACAATTGTTCCCATGATATTTCAAGTCCACACAAAGGTAGCCCACCAATGAAACTTGTTGCCTGCTGCAAACCCACACGTTTCCCATTTCGTGGTATGTTCACTTTTTTTCTACAGACATCTCATTTTTGAGCCACGTAAACCCTTGTTTTGCTTCCCGTGGCATTGCACACTGGAACAAGTGTCAAGCTCCCATAGAATGGCTAGCTAGCAACCAGACAGGTGATCAATTCGCGTCGGCTTTGTGGTCTCTCCTGTTCTCCTTGTACATGAGATGACAGCTGGCTCGAACAGGCACTTTGCCAACAAAATCGGCTACCGTGGAAAATTTAGCCACCGTCATTCTAAACCAGGAATCTTTTCTGTTATATCATGCTCCAGACATTGATTCACATGTCCCTTACTGCTGCTTTTTTCCTTCTTAGCGGTCGAGTGATTACTCCTGTTGCTTGACCCATCGGTGCATATTGCTATCTTCATCGTAACGGAAATCAGTCCGCAATCAAACTAATTGACTGTTGTGTTTTTTTTAAATCTTCATCGCAGAGGGCACTGGTCGGCACCAAAGCGATTCTAGCGACGATGATTTCTTGCCTGATCTACGGCCCGTAAAGCGTCGAAAGACAATGCCGCCCTCCAATGTAAACCAGTTTCTTGGAAGCACTGTGATGAATGACTCATCCTTCAATAATGTCATCCGTCCGGTGGATTTCGTGGACTCGGACACCTCCTCTAATTGCTCAGAAAGCTCCGCATCTATCAGCTACCTGCCCAGTGATGATGAGGACTCGTCCTCCCGTGAATTTACCCGGGACCGAAATGATTGGCTCACCAAAGCCTATCTTTTAGTAGGACCTCCGGGGACGGGCAAAACATCCCTCGTTCACGCCGTGGCTAATGATCTTGGATTCAAAGTGTTCGAACTCAATCCATCCATTCGGCGTTCCGGCAAAGACATACTTGGTCAATTCCAAATTGCTCTGGATTCCCATCACGTGTCCAAAGAGCACCTATCTACGGAGTTTAGCACTTTTCAAATGACTAGTAAGTTCTCTACCCATCTTGACCTCATAACGTTCCGCTTTAGATACAAAGAAAATAGACGGCTCCTCCGGTCGACGAAAAAATTCTGTCGCCAACTTCTTCACTCCGCAAGCATCATTCAAAGGGGGTGTTAACAGCAGCAGCAGCAAGACACCCAACCAAAGATCGCCTCAGATCATGTCTACTGCATGTGCATCGAAAGGCCTAAATTTGAGCTGCAACTCACTTGTTTTAGTCGATGAGGTAAGTTTCCCTGCACACTCGTTATTCTCAACTTGTTTTGTGGAGGTTTCTAATCTACATCACCACTCTAGTTTAGGTGTTTCTGCAATATCATCCTACTTGTCTGCAGCCCTTTGCAGTCACACGAGTGTTGACACACCGCCGATGTCTACATCATCCCTATTGTTTGTGAAAATCTGGTCCCCTTCTGAACGTCACCTTTATTTTCTGTTGTTAGCGCTAATTGGTACCCGTTTCTAAGCTAACTGACCACGGAGTAACCCGTTCCGAAATGCGTCCTCTTATTTGTCGAACCAGTAGTTCAGCAACTTGCGTCATTGCATATGTCTCATCGGCTAGCGAGAAAGATTGGTTGGAAAGTGTTGCCTCTCTCGAGGCGTCCTGGCATTTTACTTCATTTTTTCATTCCTACACAATGAGCCGTCACATTCTGCGCCTTCAGCTCTATTCATTGTTGGGCGGTCGCCCGAATCAGATGTCGAATCGGATTTGCCTATCATCTTATAGGCTACAAAACTCAATCGTTCTGCGCGAAATGCGCATAATTCAAAATCTACCACCTCTTATCTCACTGGTACCCCCATGTGGTAATTCTAACTGCCACTGCGTTTTTCGAACCCAAACAACGTGTTTCGCACATCTTTCATCCGCTAATATCATAGTTATGCGTGCCACTTCGGTGACCACTCATGCATGCATCTCGCTTTCATCTGGCTACTTGTGCTTGCTCCTTCCTTTTTCTGCGATGGCAACTCGCTATTTCCCTCTCATTTACTCTGCTTCCCTGTAGGCCGACGTCCTATTTGACAGCGATCGGGGCTTTTGGTCCGCTTTGAGCAATCTTCTTCAGTTGGCACGTCGGCCCATCGTGCTGACAGCGTCTGACGCTTCATTGGCCCATAATCTCCCCATTCACGCCCATGTGTGTCATATTAAAAGGCCACCTCCGGTGAGTCTTCTCTCGCTACCTCCGCCTCCTAACGTTTCTGGTGTCTGTGTGGCACATGGGGGATCGACACTGGGTTCTGTGTTCTGGCTTAAATTGTATACAAAGAACACTTTCCGTTCCGGTAGGATGTCACAGATCTGTTGCAAACTCACTTGCAATTGCTATTTCTCCTAATTGTTTCTTGTCAATCGCCTGCCTTTTTCTCTCTATACCATGGTGTTTCTGTGGTCTGCTGATACGCGTGTGTGTACGAACGCATAGTCCAGTACACATGTGAGGGTAGCGTAATTCGTTTGCATTTTGTGAATTCCGCAAATCCATTGATAGTCACAACACTCATCTATCGATTGCAACCACTTGCTCAACACCACGGCTAGCTTATTTGACTAATATTTCGATATCACAATTTTCAGCTTCTTGGCTATCGGCCTAAACTGCACACTATCCAGATCCTGTTATTATCTCACGCACGGATATCACTGAAAGCCGGCTTATTTTATTCCCTATCGATTTATTTCTCCCATATGCTCTCGGCGATCTAGTTCTTTCACGTTTCGCTATCTTTTTCCTCGACATTGTCGGCACTTGTTTTTGCCATCTACTCAACTACTGCCCCATGTTCCCATCAATGTGTTTACTGCCCAACACCATTTAGGTTTGCCATATTTTTGTACTTGTGTTGCTCGATTCGAATGGAATGTATCGCGCTACAGTGCTAGTTTAACTGGACAGCCATGCTCCAAGCTTTATATCGCATTACTATGACGAGGATACTATTAACGCTAATAAGCAGGGAAGAAAATTCAATCACACAGATAGACAGGAATGAAGATGTCTGCAATAACATTTGTCAATTTCAGTTAGAGTGGTGGTTATTGGTGTCAAAGGATCAGTTACAAGAACGCAACCAGCTTTTTCATTGAGCAGAGTCATAAAAGATCTGTATACCGACGTGACTGACCCCAAAATCGTCATTCGGGAAGACGGTAAGCACATGTCTGACCAATCCTTTCGATCAATTTCTTCGTTGTTACACCTTGTAACCCATTTGGGTGTCAGCATCCACGAGTGCAGCCCACTGACGTTGGTCACTTGTGTGCAAGCGAAGCACGACCTGGTCAGTCTAGAAGGTTCATCTTCAACTGTGGTGCCAGATATTTCGTTACCAAACAACTGGATGTCTCAACGTTGCTGTTTTGGTGTTCCCATAAACAGTTAGCAATGCTTCACAGGCGCCGGCGATCCAACTCAAAATGCGTAATGATAATCCCCGGACCTAGCCAATATCCCAGACCGTATTGCAACACTGTTCATTTTACTTTTGATAGATGAATTATCATCTCACCATCTTCACGAATAGTTGTCTTTAAAGGTAGCATTAGCCTTAAATATGTGTGCATTTACCTCTTCAATGATGTACCTACCGAAATCAATGCGGCTATTACTGAAGTGAACCGATGTTTGTTATTCGTTAGAACCGATGTTGCGTCTACCCAACTCCACAGTATTACTTTTGCCTTGAAGGTGCGAAGCACATGCCAAACTGTGCGGCCTTCTTTGTCGGTGTTTTCAAAACACCCAAACAGAGCTTGATCCGGCCTCAGGATTTGTATGCTGTCCGCACACTTAAAAGATGTTAGCCGGTTTCACGATAGAGCCTATTCCCATTGAAGTCGACAGCTTCGATTTGTCGCTGATCTTATCTCTGCGAGTTGTGTCCGTTAAATGTGTAGCTGTATGAAGGTCTCATGTTAAGGTTGCTGTTGCATACATCATGTTTCTCCTCCGCAGTTGGGCTACATCGATTACATTTAGCCTAGATCGTCTTCGCCTAGATTTGTTCACTTCTGGCATTCTGCTGCAAATTTTGCATGCATATTTTCTTTCATACTCGATTTTTGAGTTTTTATATCCCCGGTGTGGCTGCGCTTGATGCGAATGTTGACAACTTTCCTACCTGTCAAAAACCCACGACCTAGATTATACTGGCTCCAGGAGACAGTTCTTCGTTGCTGGTGGAGCGGAGCCCTCTGTCCTCGTGACTGTGCCAGGCTCAAAGATTGGTTCCATCCAGTGCGGAGCACACTACGGCCCAGTCATCTCCTTGTGTACGTCTGATACATATGATTCCCAAATGAGATAGACAGCAATGCTATTGCTGTGCATGTTGAAGGAGTGTGGGCCGGCTCCGTCGATGAAACGTGGCCCCCATCCACATACCTCTCGGTGTTATTCCTTCGGGTTTACACTAGGTATGAGGTGTGTGGATGGAGATGTAGGTAGTGCAGCGCAAGCCACCTATGGTCCCTCTGTGGGCGCAGGCGTCCTGTGGCTGTTTTATGGAGGCCGCAGTGACAAGCAAATTCGCAACTGGATGCCGTCTTCCATCTCGGGTTCCGCTTCATTACACCACCGAACTAAACTCTACGATTTTGTTTACCCTTGGCTAACTCAACCTGTACATATTACCGCTAAAGATGAGTCATAATGAACTTAATTACCCTGTTTTATCTTCTGTTCTGCAGACCACCTTCTCACTATCCCTAATGATGTACCATTCTGGCCTCTTAGATACTCATGTACCACGACTTCTCGGGGCCAGAAAATTTGGTTACAGTGTTCATGCGTCTTGACACTTCAGGATCGTCCTATCATCCTTGCGCTCTGAGACCACGCGCCATACTCGGTGACATTTAAGCTTGTTTTCTACTCGGAGCATCATATTCTGATGACTAGTTTGCAGCTCGGTGGACTTCGAACCCACACGCCTCTCGGCGTTATCGTTCATGTTGTACATGTATGTAACCTCAACAGTCTAGCAACTAGACATAAAGCCAACAAAGCCATGGAGATTAGCAGATAAGGGGAAGTCACTGCGTCATAATCATCGTGGCATAGTAGTTGAAGTTGAGCAACACACTTCAGCTACTATGCCGCAGGAAGAAAGGAACATTTTGTCATAACGTAGAACAAAACATTTCTAATTTGTTTTTCACACGCCGATTTTTCTCTTTTTTGTCATTTACAATATTTGAAGTATTAAACATCTGAATCAGTACAATTATGTACGCAATTCTTTCACTGATTCCGGTTGCGGGCCATGTCTTCAAGAGTGTTAAGCCATTGGCACTCCTCATCTTTGGCTCCCCATCCTGGAAGACGTACGGGTCCAAAAGCGGCTAGACACGACGTCAGCGATTTCATGTGCTGTCACCAAGTGGAAGGCTGACCACCACGCGGTCGCCTCCAGCTAGGTCCTTGACGATCGAATAGAGCGCGACGCAGTAGACGCTTAGGTCCCATGCGCAGGACGTGACCGAGCCATCTCAACTGGCGCAGCAAAACCAGTTTGTTCTAAGAAATACTCGCATTCCCCAAGATGCGACGTCGAATGTCAGTACTGTTAACTCGATGTTGCCACCAAACACGAGCAATCCCACTTAAGCAACTGTTATCGAAGGCAGAAAGACGACGCGTGTCTTCTACGCGAATCGGCCAGGATTCGCTCCCGTACAACAACACTGAGCGAACAGATGCGCTGTAAACGCGGCCCTTTAGCGAGAATGAGACGTCGCGACGACGCCACAAGTGCCTCAGATTGGCCAATGCTGATCGGTCTTTAGCGATGCGAAGCGAAACTTCTTTGGTGATAGTGCCGTCAGCAGAAACACATTTCTACTTGCTCTATAATACAGTATTCCCAGGGTAGACGAAACTATCTGCCTGTTCAAGTTGTGCATCTTCGAGAGAGAGCACGGAAGCAAATGTAAGCCAATCCTTGAGCAGTACTATACACTTCGATGAGGCGAAGCTCATGCCATACTTAGATACTTCAATCGCCAAACGATCCAGTGTGAGTTGCACACCCTGAGGATCGTCACCAAGTAAGACGATATCATCAGCATAATCTAAGTCGGTCGCGCGCTCACCCGGTAGAAGCTCTAGGCCAAATGTTGGAAACCTTCTACGCACTCGCCAGAACGTCTTCGATTGCAAAGTTGAAGAGGAATGGGACATAGGGCAGCCCTGTCGCACACCGCTATTGACAGCGAATTTCGATGAAAGCTTGGCATAGACCCTCATTCTGCCGGATTTATGAAGGTAAAGTGCTCGTACGATGGTATATTTCTCTGGTACCCCGTTCTTTAGCAAGCAACGCCATAAGGCAGGTCGATCAACGGAGTCAAAAGCGGCACGTATGGCTAGGAATGCAACAATAGTGAGCCTGTGATAGATGTGGCAATGTTCGAGGAGCTGGCGGAGCGTGAAGATTTGATCCACGTATCCGCGACCGGGTCTGAAACTAGCTTGTTCTTCACGGTAGTATGATTCACGTATTGGGGATAGTCTACGGAGCAGAATGGATGCCAGTAGCTTGGAGGCAACCGAAATAAGACTAATCCCGCGATGATTTACACATGAAGTGCGAGCGCCTTTCTTGAAAATCGGGACAATAACTGATTCGCCCCAAGAGGAAGGCACTTTCTCTTCATGCCAGATTTTTGCGAACAGCGAGGTCAGCTGGTTAATGATCGCCACACCGCCGTACTTGAACAGCTCCGGAGGAAGTCCGTCTAAGTCGGCAGCCTTGAAGCGCTTCAGGCGTCGAATCTCGAGGCAGACTTCCGCTTCACTGGGTGGATTCAGTGGGACGAGCCAGCGTGGACAACGAGATGTACTGCATGTACTGATGGACGGTGGAGACCAGTTGAGCTGCGAGTGAAAATGCTCGGCCCAGCGGTCCATACGCCTCTGTTGGTTGGTGATCGGAGACTCATCCACCTCGCAAATAACCTCACTGACACTAGGCTTCCTGTGGCCAGTGGACCGAATGAGGTGGAAATGCTTGCGAGTGTTGCCAGAGAGGGCAGCGGTCTCCATCTCTAAAGCACGCTCAGACCACAATGGCTCGCGATCCTTGCGTACGCTTTGCTTGAGCAGCCGGTTAGCAGAACGGCGCCGCTCGTTGCAATCTGATTCTGCCAGGATATCTTTGCGGCGTTCGAACCGCTCCAGAAAACGAGCAGAGATCCAAGCCTTTAAGGGGCGTCGAGCTAGGCCGCAGCTGGACTGTCCGGAAATGTTCATCGCTTTCTGTATACAAGTCCAGTGTTGCTCCACATCTTGCGATGGATTGCAACCGAGTGCGTATGCCAGTGAAGACTGATAGCTCGCCTGGACAGAGGAATCAGTTAATCTGTTTACATCAATCTTAGGGTGTTTCGGGACCCCCCAAAACACATGCCAATTTTCGCGCAAACCAGTGCATGATCTGAGTCAACGAAGGTGGACCAAAAGGACCTGCAGTCCAGTACGCTGCCACGCCATCTGAATCTAATTGCAATGTGATCAATTTGAGACCACGGTTGTGTTGGCGATGGGGACACCACGTTGTGGAACGCTTCTTCGTACGCCTGAAGTTAGTGCTCGAGAGAAACAGATGGTTGTCTTCGCACAATGTGAGAAGCCTCTCTCCGTTATCAGAGCGGTTGTCATCGAGCGCTTGGTGGCCACCAAGGTGGCGCTCGTATGGTAACAGGCGACCAACCCGTGCATTAAAATCCTCAGCAAGGACAACAACATCTGACTTTTTAGCATTAGTCAAGAGCTGATGTAGATCTCGGCAGAAATTGTTCTTAGCCGAATCGCTACTGCAGTCAGTTGAAGCGTACACGGAGATCACAAACAAGTTGCGTCTCTCTTCGCGGCGCTTGTTGATTCCACATGAACCCCGAACCCTAACTGCACACAGTCGGCTGTTAATCGGGAACCAGTCCAGTAGTGCCGCTTCGGCCTTGCCACTTGGTGCTATACCTACACTAGCCAAACCCGCAGGGGCTGCTTCTGGATCTTTAGAAAGACGCAGGTGATATATGGCTTCCTGATCAGTGGAGGATGTCAATGTAAGCACAGTGCTGGGATCTTGCAACCGGGTTTCTGAAAGGCAGCAGACATCAATATCGAGGGACTCTAGGGTGCGCGCTAGACCGACTTGCTGTCCAATCTGCATGAGTGTCCGAACGTTGAAGCACACCAGAGGGAACGAGGATCGGGGACGAAGGAGAGCCATAGGTTGAACTCCGTGGTTTGCGGCGCAATCGGAATCCTAGCCAGATTGTTGAACACATGAATAGGGTAACGGAAAGTAAAGATTGTAAGCAAACAAACAATTGGCGTGTGATGAAGTCGCGTGAATGTGAGAAGCAGAAACGGTAACTGATGCGCACGTTGTAGTACAGTCCATGGTTTTGTGAAAGGGCGGGATACTACCCGGTTGTCCAAGCCGAAGTAGGGAGTTGACTTAGGGGACCCCACCCCGAGCCTTTGGCTAGATAACCTACCCGCAAGGTAACGTGGCGAATTCAGGGAATCGCGCCCATTGGGAGTCGCTGACTGAATGTTCAGTTCATGCGTCTTTCGTTTGGTAGATCACCAAACAGGGGCTCAATACTCCCCATGAAATCAGCACAATTGCTGGACTACATGATTCACCGGGGTGAAACATCGCTGAACACTTTGCTGGAACGGGGCACACCCGAACCACCCAGCTGGCAACACGAGGAGGTAGTTCGGCAAGCCAGCCATCGTTCCTATTGCTTTCCGCTCGTCAAAACATTGAGCCTTACAACAAGCGTGTTGCCATTTTGTGTAGTCAGCGTTAGGTCTGCTCAGTTGCATCAGCTCCCAAACCTTTTAACTGCGCGTTCCACAATCATTATTATATTATGCTCTTCGTTTGTTGCGGTTGCCACAACCATACCCACAACTCTCGCACTGTTATGAGTCGACTTTTGTTTTGTACACCCCACGCCTTGAAGATGAGTTGCCAGACCCTGGTTAGAAAGAAATTACGACAAAACACGGATATAATAGCATGGATGAGCAGGATCCAATAGGATACCGCGGTGAACATAACTAACTTCCGGTTGCCCTACAATCATCTTAAATTGACTTCTGGTTTCAAAACTAGATTTGGAGTACCTGCTGTGTGATCGGATTGCGACACGTAATCTCTATTCAGACCTCGGATCTTAGAGCCATAGTAATCAAGGCGTCAGTCTTTAACCACTAGGACTCGAGGTCCACCCCAGCTCAGGCGGTCTTCATCTGATGAGTCCGAAGGAGGACGAAACCGATTATGGGGTGTCAGGTTTGGGAGGAGCAGCACCGAACCACTAACCCTTGGATTATCCTCTCCTCACACCTAAATGTTCGTCAGACTTATTTTCAGCTTCCTTACTACGGTTTGATACAATTACTACCTCAGCCTAGCTAAGGATGGTTCGTTGCAATGCAGAGACTCAGAGTGTATACTTCGACAAATCAAAGTACATTCTTAATCACTATAAGAGGCGCGTTCCCCGCTAATCTCTCCATGACTTGGTGCAAAAGGCATCAGACACTTTAACCACATCACTCTTCGAGTTGAACCACCCAGTGTCCTTCTATATCTGGCTATAGAGACCGATTAAGAACTAAGTCCCTGGTGAAGTGTAACATTGGGAGCCGAAGACGCCAAACTTTTACTGAAGCTTACATACAGAATCCTTGCAGGATTCCGCAATGCCGACACAAAGTTGGGATAGCTGTTATGCAAATTGGTTACCTTAGCTATGCTCGGTTTATGGTATCTGTTCTAGATGCCCCCTGGGAAATTCTCTCACGCAACCTTCCTTAATCAGCTTTTGCAGTGAAAGTCACCAACTACTTTAACTGCATCCAAACGTTAAAGATAACACACAAGAACTTTTTTCACTGCGTATGTGTTTACTGTCCGACTCCTCACAATCAACACTGGAGGCGGACTCTACTTTGACCACCCACAGCTTTTTTAAAATCATCTTACTTATCACTTTTACTCTACTTTGCTAAGGACCTAATCATTCCTTATCTGCGGTTAATCTGCGCGACCGAGGGATTGCATGTGGACGCCACTTCAATTGAGTTACTCCATCGACTGAACACGCGCTCCTGCGAATTTATCAATTCAGCCACGGTGAACCCTGTTCCGTGTGGTGATTTGCGAGGATTAATCAACCAACTACAGTGGTTGGTGTCTGTCGCTTCATCGCATTCGGTAAGTCCCTTGGCTACCTCGCAGTCGCCATGGCTATGGTGCTCCTATCTGCTATTCTATTGGCACAGTGGTTCGTTATCGCTCCCAAACTTTTTTATATCACTCTGATTTCATCAATGCTTGCTGTTACAAGACTCCTAACCTTCGCGGCCATCCACTTAACCTAGTTTTGATTCTGCATGTCTAGTTTTTACCTCCAGCTTAGTTGCCGTAATGTCCGTGTTGCAACCAGCGCGTGTATATCACACAACCATACCTCATCCACATGTCATTCATTCACCTTTATTTGTGTTCCAGGAACCATCTTCACTCCCGATCGATCTGGATTCTCTGGAAACCTTCAGCTCAGATCCACTAGAATGGCTCCCAAAGGAACATCCTTTTCTCAGTTCAGTACATCTATTCCCACGCACTGCCTCCCTTGACTTCACTCCTTTATCAAGAGCAAAATTTGATGTTTCTGAAGCCGCCCAATCGGAGGCCAATGGTAACAGTTTTTGCGAGGTTTTCAACGACGATGCTGACATCAAAGACTCCGCATCTGAAATCCAACCACAGTCCAGTCACGAAACTGTAAGTCGATATTAATACTTTTTCTCTCAACCTTCTCTACTTCATCCTCCCTTTCACTGTGATGTGGATATTTTCTTGGGTGCTTCTCCATATGCCACCAGATACTCGAATGTTGTGGAACTGGTAGATAGACTTTGACGGAAATTTCCTCACAACCACACCCAGTCCTGATGTGTCTGAAAATGCACTGAACAACCGTTTTATTCTTTCGGTATTGTTGGCTATCGGGTGGCCGGTATCTTACAGAGAATTCTCGTTTACGGTACCCAGCATTTTCCTCTCCATGTTGGGGACATGCAGTAGTAGAATCAGTTTCTTCCTCGTGATACAATGGTAAGGGCTACGGTCTCGTAAACGTGGTGCGGGATGACAATCTGCAATCGGTGTGACCAGACGGATTCACGGCTCGAAGTGAACGGCCAGGAGGTGGACGGTAACCGAGCGGGATCTGTGATTGGACACGCCAGGTTTACCCGGCTATCTGCACGACTCCACCGATTGATTGATATTTTGCTACCTTACTGTGAGTTTGGTTAACCGAATCAAAAGCAGGTATGTGAGGGGAGCAATGTTATTAGAAAAGATCGACTCGGCCATATATAGCAACACGATTAACAGGCCAACTATGCTGTCCTTTTTAGCATCTGTCAAATTAAAGATCGTCCCTGGAAGACCAATTTTTGAAACAGGAGTTTGGGTTCGGTCACTCCGGTGGTTTAGTTCAAAGAGGCTGTCAATTTTCGACCTGTTGGGCTTATTTTGTACATGCGTACTTCGATTGCACTGTTTACGATCAATGAATCGGGCTTCTGACACATCGCAACCGAATTCGGTCATGTGTCTATCTCTTCGTTTTCTCTTCATCCACTCTATTTTCACATTTCCTTTGTTTTAATACGACTAACGTAAAGGGTCTACCAATGCGCAATCCGTTCTCTTGCTCCAAAGCCGTTCTGCTTTCTCAGCTTGCCCCGACGCACCAACATAGATTCCATACCACATCCTTGGTTTCAATGTGCGTCGATTTAGGCATGAATCTACCGTTTTAAACATGCTACACTATTCCCTGGCGTTATGTGATCAGTTGAGAACAAGTGCGTTCCACTTACAGCTAGAGCGTATACTATCTGGTGTTGGAAATATATACTTATAGCTGGAGCGTTTTTAGCTGCGTTAGATAACATGTGGTGATGCTGTAGATGCACATCTTCACTGCTTGCATACTTCCTGATCAAATATTCTCACAATGTGCGTTAACGGTGCAACGAAAATGCGCTCTAGCGAGGACTAGTTCTTATTTCCTGAGTAGCGCTCACTTCTTTCCGGCCTCATATATGAATTATCAAATTGAATCCTCTTGGTGTCAGCCGTGTGGTGTGGAACTTTTCCTTTCCAACGAATGCTTCGGCGTCAGTCTTTGAGAACGTGATGGATTTTCGCCTGTCAAGCGTTCTTCCACAAATGCTTGTTTACAAGCACTGCAACGTGGTGGATGTTACTCGCCACTAACTTGAGTCATTGACCCTTGCTTCGCCTCGGTGCAACGTTGTAGGCCGCAGAGTGAATTGGGCCCCCTGTTTGGCAACTCACCAAACCAAAGGCCTATGCGCCGAAAAATCGATCACCGTTTCCCAATGGGAGCGATTCCGTCCTTTCGTTCCGCTATCTTGAGGATAAGCTATTCGTCTTAAGGCTCGGGGTTGGATCCCCTCATTCAATTCTCTATTTAGGCTTGGGCAACCGAGTAGCACCACCTCCTCTGCCATAATTATGGACTGCTCTGAGATCTGTTCAGTCGTCTTTTTACAATAAATATACCTTCCTTTGTCTTACATATATATATATATATATATATATATATATATATAGTCGAGCCCGTTGTGTTGCCCGGTTTTTCAAAATACAAATTCCTCTCATAAATATGCTAAATTTTCACCATGTACTTACCCATTGGTGGGGGTTGTCCCACCGCTTAATTGCCCAACTGCTGGACTGTGCTCCTGTCGCTTTGTCAATTTTACGCCCTCGCTCTGACAATCTTTTATTATGATTGCTCTACAGCTTGCCAGTCTGATCGAGTCAAGAACAACTAAGACGTCGGCGGCGTTATTGACAGATCAGAAAAGGTTACTTCTTCAAAACACGATCAAACTAAATGTGCAGACGGCTGTAGGCATACCCTCGGCCCTATTCAAAACTCGAGAACTGAGGAAAGTCGGGTAACCTTTCCGCTCCACATTTGTCAGTAGTCTATTGATTACACACAAGTATGGCCAGTAACATCAAGGATTTATCATCGACAGAAAAGTTAGACGTTTCGAGCAAATTAAAAACATTTTCCACTAGGAAATTCGCAGACCAATTTGTCGCGTGATTTCCGCGTTTCTCGTTGTACCCTAGCCAGGTTGGTTGGCAGCGAGAAGGAAGTCCGGCAGAATTTGTCGCATGGCACTGCAAGATCTCAGAAAAGGAAGCTATGTGGAAAGGATAACGAAGTTGAAACTGCATTGAAAAACTGGAGGATATCGTTTCATGAGCATAACCAAACAGTTATGGGCCCGCTTCTGAATAAAAAGGCAGAAAAATTATGGGAACTACTTGGAAACACCTTTGCTGCCACAGAAGGATGGTAGCAAAGATGGAAGAACAGAAATCAAATTGTGTATTAGCGGCGCATGGCGAAAAGAGTTCCAAGGATAGAGCAGTCTGTGAAATTGGCTAAATGATCGACTGCCTGAACTTTTAGATGCATTTAATGATGACAACGTGTACAATGGAGACGAAACAGGCTTTTTTACCGAGCAACTCCAGAGGGCTCTTTGTGTCTTTCTACCGACAAGTTCAGCGGATCGTAAAAAGCCATGGATAGGATCACTCTGCTGGGGTGCGAAAATATGGCAGGCACGGATAAACGGAAACTGGTTTTGATTGGAAAATATATGAAACCACGATATCTTAATGTCCTGAACGTGGACACGCTTCCCAAAACTTACGGAGGAAAGAAAAGTGCGTGGATGACGAAAGAACTTTTCATCGAGTGGGTCCTCGAATGGGAAAAGGAGCTAGGCCAAAGTGGCCGAAAAATTATGTTGTTTGCCTTAATTGCACACGGCATCCACAGGTAGATAGACTGAAAGACATTCAAATGGAATTTTTGCCAGCCAACATGACCAGCCTTCTTCAACCCGTAGACAAAGGTGTGAGTATAGATCTGAAAATCCGTTAGTGAAAGGAAATTGCTGGCCGAATTCTTTATCACATCGAAAACAACGCGTTATCTGGCTCATCTTCGGTGGTGGATGTTAAAGCCAAGATTTCTGTGTTCGATGCAATTTATTTCGTTTAAAAAGGTTGGAAACAGGTTACGGGTGCAACACTAAAAGCTTGCTTTCAGCATGCTGCCTTCAGTCGACTGGCATCCGATGCACTTTCTGATGATGATTAGTGCAAAAGTGTCTGGGAGTAGCAGCCCAAAATAATGCACAACTGACGTTTGTTTTCTCAGCAAAAAGTATGCAGTAGGGCCAGTTTCTATAACTCTCCAGGTATGATGCTTTATGTTATAATTTTTAACTTATAAGTCATGCTCTTCTGAATATGCGTCTTTTGTAGGCTTTAGTTAGAATTCATGTTTTATCCTTCTTAGCACATTACAATTCTAGTGCTGTACTGTACAATAATTCAAGGGATTTTCCCTTTTAGCAAAAGATAGCAGTATCGGTTAATTGACCACCATGCTTTATTACCCACTTTTGTAAGATCCCGATGATGGGCAATAACGTGGGTTCGACCGTATATATATATATACGGTCGAACCCGGGAGTTGGGTTACACCTTTCTCCTTGCTAAGATCCAGGACACCGATACGCATGAGTCAGTGAACTGACCATGTGCTAGACCTGCTGTCTTTCGGGTGTACATTTGATCGAAGGCTTTGGCTGAGGACCCGAGTCGTTCTCCTGTCAGTATCTTAGCCAGTATCTTAGTCCATCCTCTTCGGCGATTAGGAAGTGGGCGATGGCCCTCTTCCAGTAAAACCTAGCCATGGGGGACAATAGGTCTAAGGGTTATAAGCTCACAGCTCGATTGGCGTAGAGCACGAGCACCACGCATTGTCTCTGACGGTGGGAGGACACCTCCGGGTGCTTAATGGTTTGCTACTGCCCGCCTCAAGCCACGCAGCCCCTGGTCAAATTGGTGCAAACCCGCCAAAAGCAACCTGCGTCTGGCCGTGGTCGAATGTTTATCCTACTACGGTCGCAAAACACATGAATCGTTCCAGAACCTCAAAGGCTGCGTGTGACGGCCGTCAAGCAGATCCCAATCTGTCTCTTCCCGAGCTGCATACGCTCCCCATTACCTTGTGGGTCAGGCTATTGAGCCAAAGGCTCCGGGCGGAGTCCCTCAAGCAAACCTCCAAACAACCCACGTACACAGCAATGCTGAGAGCAGGCACAGACACCTATCAATCCTGAAGTAGTGTTTTACATTTACCTGGTGTGAAATACAGGCCATACCTAGGCGCCTCCATCACTAAGCGGTCTGAAACGCTTTGGACGGCTTGTGAATCATCCCACAGGAAATCGATATAATCGGCGCAATCCAAGTCCGCAACTCTGTTTCCAGGGAGAAGTTCAGTGCCGCAGCTCTGCATGCCTTCCAATGCTCATTCGGCGACATCTTCGATGGCGAAATTGTAGAGAAGAGTGGGAATAAGGCAACGTAGGCGAACGCCGCTGGTGACAGCAAACGAAGAAGTAAGCGTGTCGTAAGCCTTAACTTTGCTCGGCGTGTGACTGCAAAGTTCCTTCAACATGGTTAAAAACTTGTTGGGCGCAGACTGTCTACACAGTTCCACAACTCAGATCTAATGGATCAGTTGCCGCTCAGATCTAGGATGCTATGATTGTTCGCCGCCGGTGGGCATATCGGTGTTCCAGAAGTTGGCGAAGTGTGAAGATTTGGTCGATGTAACCGCGGCCTGGACAAAAGCCAGCTTG